CGCCAACACTGCAAGTCCATAGATACTCATGTAGGAACTCCGGATACCAACTTAGTAGGTCCGCCAACTTTGCTGACTTAGCTGAGATCCAACTCCACTTGCCGCAGATAGGGTGAGAAAAATCCAGTGGCATGAGGATGTACATCAAACAGGCAAAATACAAATACCACAAGCTATGAGCTGAAAAACATCATTCAGATCAGTATACAAAGATACTTTTGAAACATTCATATCCACCGCAAAATCGCTTCTCGATCAGTTTAAGTTTAGTATGGTTTAGTTTCTGTCCTCAGAACCAGCCCTGAGATATCATAATTCGCCTAACTTTATTCCTGAAGGCCTTAGAGGAGCTCGAGTTAACAACATCGACCGGTAAATCGTTCCAGAAAGTAATAACTCTTTGGGTAAAAGAATTTCGAAACTCAGTTGATCTTGTTTTCTCTCTCATTATCCTAAAGTTGTGACCCCTAGTACGACCAATTGTTGAAGATTTTGTAAACAAGAGGTCGAAATCCAAATCTACAGAGCCAACACTGAGCTTGTAAACGAAGTCGTAGTCGTATAGTTTCTTCTCATCTCAAGAGAGTCCTCTTTCAGATATTTTAGCCTGTCTTTATACGAAATGTGAAACATGCCTCCACGGGCGAAAATTCTCTCAGTAAATTTGGACTGAACACTCTCAATAAGTTCAACCATATGGCGAGTATGAGGGCTCCATAACATGGGACAATATTCAAGGGTGGGGCGCACATATGCAGCAAAAAGCTGGAACAAAGTTTTCATATTTCTCGAAGAGAATGCTCTTAAGATGTAATTCGCCTTGCATTGTGCCATATGCACTGCTTTGGTAATATAACTTCTCTACAGGCGCGTTTTCAATGATATTGTGTTTTGCTTCAAATTGCTGAAGGGTGAATTGAAGCTAAGACCGAGCAAGTACTGGACGTTCAGGCCTTGTCGAGGGCGCTGCTTCAAGCTCTCTCTGCAATGCCCTAAGCTGGAGAAAAAACAATACGTTAAGGTTTCTAGCTCTCTCTTCTTTCGTGGGGCAAGATGGCTTCAGCTCCTTCCAGCTGAAATGCTCGAGGTTCAAAACATTAGTGCCTTCAAGAGCAAGCTGAGGAAAGTTGACTTGTTGTCTATTATTGGTATTCAAGATTTTTGAGGTTTCTGCTTGTCCAGGTCTAGCCTATGTCTCTTGATTTCATCTTTTCAGTCAGTTACGCCCTCTAACTCGGTACTGCGCTTCAGTCACAACTCACAGCCCAGTCCCAAAATGGAAAAGCCGCGATGTTCTTTTTTTCGTTAAAATTTTCATGTTTAACCCCTTGCGTTTTGTTTCTTTTTGTTTTCTTTATTTTCACTAACTTATTCTGCAATCTTACATCTTACTTAACCAGACGTGTTCTATAGGTGGGAGGTCTCCAGTCCGTCTGGCCATTTACCACCTAGAGCCCACACCTAGGAGGCACTGTCAGTCCGAGAAGCTAGTTTGTGAACAACTTAGAGTTGGCGGGTAGGAAGCTGAATTGTTAGGGATAGGGAATACCTAACATCCGAAAATTCAGTTTCCTATTCCATGTTTGGTTATCTATCTGGGAGTTGGACTGTGTTTCCCGCGCTACGTTCACTCTTGAAGTTTGAACTAGTTTCATCGGTAGATTCCTATATGAAGAGGCTACCGCGATTGTTCAGTACCCTCTTATATGATGGTATAAGGACTTGCTTTGTCGTACTTGTGACTCAAGATTCTGATTTTCTGTGTTAGCTCTAACACCTCTCTGATTATGAAAATTTGGGAGATCTATTTAGTGGGCAGTTGGAAATTCTGTGTTGAGGGCTAACTCGTTTGTTTTTTCTCCATTGAGAAAACTTGCATATTTCCCTAATTTTATTTAGGATTCATTCTGCCTTATTTGGGTGCTATCATATAGCAGTTTGTCATCAGGATATGGGTTTTTTTCGCCGTGGCATGTACACTCGTGTTATTGACATAATCGTGTCGCATTACATGATTCATTTGCATCTTATTTTTGTGTCCGGATGTGAATACATCCTGTGCATGTTGCATTATATGTTATGCGTTTTTAATAATTATCTATCTATATGTATCTTATTTATCTCTAAGATCCTTTGTAGGGAATCCCTATTGCCGCCGTTGTCGATTCTTAGGAGGGCAATGGTTCCACTGAATCCACCGCTCTGATTGTCCTTAGGTTTATGATATATGAAATGTGTTTCTAAAAAATTGTGCAATAAGAAAATCTCCCGTAATGTCCAAAAGCTGTTTTGGATTTGGAAAGACTAACAGAAGGAATATTTACACTAAAGGTAATTGGGATTTCGAAAGCTGTTCTGGGAGAATTCTATGTAGACTGCTAGAATCTGTGTATGCTAATGGAGTAGCCGTTAGCGCGTGTTGAGTGTAACCTGGTGAGGCACTTTGTTTCGCTTCTTTACAGTTCGGGAGTAAGAAAGAATGTGAGTCACCTGATACTCGTTCCTTCTGTGCAAACTAGGGGCCTTTCATTTATTGGGCATCAAAATTTGGGGCCAGCACCGAGGTCTCTACAGGCGATTTCGTGCGCTGTTTGTGTGCTTTTGTGGTGTGGGTTGGTGGGGGAGGGGATGCACGCATACAGCAGTTTCGCTGCTTTTCTTGTATTTATTGCTTCACAAGAGTTGACAAGTCTTCACAAACATTGACTGACGTCACTCCATAGTTTCACAAGATACACAGATCTCCACGTGACGGCTTGACACTAGGAGTGGAAAAAGCAAGAGTGCAAAATGCACAACCTCCCCTCCCTCCCCTCCCCTCAGCCTAATTGCATCGGCTAATTCTACAAAAGTGTGCAGAAAGATCACTCTGTTAGTTGCTAGCAAGATGCAACGAATACTGGCGAAATATTGTATATTTCACAACTGATGAAGATACCAAGACTACAATGTCCACCACCCTCTCATACGTTCTGGTGAGCCTCTTTCAGAAACTATGAGCACTAGCTACCACAAGACTGTCGGATTATGGGCCATATAACATTATCTCGCAACCAAGCAAAACTAGAACCTGTACCTCAGCCTTACAACTGCCCCCTTCCACCTCTGAGCTGAACGACGTGGATGTGGAAAGCAACTCTTGTGGATAAGAGCCGTGCAAAAGTGGGCGTTCAATAGTAGTTAGATTATGGTAAATCAATCACTTAATCACTTAAGGCACAGATATACAATTGGAAGCACGGTTCTGTCTGTAGTCGAAAAAGTAAGAGACCTAGGTTTCCTTGTCAACAGCGATCTTAGTTTTGATGATCATTGTGACGACATCGCAAGGAAGGGAACCATTATCATGCATAACATATTTAGAGCACTGTCGACAAAGAGTTCGTCTGTGCTTTTGCAAGCTTACAAATCATATGTAAGATCTGTTTTGGAATATGGTACACCTGTGTTCAATCCTTTCAAAGTTAAGTCGATTAATAAACTAGAGGCGGTACAAAACAGCTTCACAAGGAAGCTGATGGTGAGAGTCCTCGGGTTCATGTATGACCAAATCCCTTCAAGTGACGTAAGGAATAAGAATTTCGGTCTACAAACTCTGCAATACAGACGGAAGAAAAACGACCTTTTATTGTTTCATAAACTTATTAATGGAAAAGCTAAACTAGATCCTGAACAGCTGTGGGTACACAAAACCTCAATCACAAGAGGCGGTAGGATGAAAATTGATGTGGGCCGGGCCAAATTGAGTTGCAGGCGAAATTTCTTCACCCACAGGGTGATTCCAGTATTCCAAAACTTATGCAAAAAGCATCCGTCAACAATATCCTACAGCGCGCTCAAAAATTTTCTTAACACGACGACGGGTTAAAGAAATCCCTTGGTCCTAAGCTGCTTCTTTTGTTCCTTTTTTCTGCTTCCATACAATACTGGGTGCTCTCAATTTATTTATTTGCTTTTACTGTTGGTGAGTTATTTATGTCCTCTTTTATGATTTGGCTTGAATGTTCTAGAACGTAATTGATCCATAGTTGTGTTCGTAATTTTGTTGTGGAATTTCCCCACACGAGGTTGTCACATCGAGAAGAGACCGCCTAGATGGGTGGACATGTCGACCCATCTAGGCAGCCTCTTCTCGTGTTGAAAAGTGCAGAATGCCCCCCCCCCCCAACGCCGAAGCCCCGACGGTGAGCCAGGGATTGAAGATGTTGTTCAGGTTTAAGAGAGAGAAAAACGAACTGAGAGAGAGGAGCAGTAACCTTTTGCGGGTGTAGCTTTATCTCACATAAATCTACAGCCTATAATGGGAGAGGCGATGGAGCGTGTCAGGAAGTAC